GGCTTACAAATCTCTTCACCAGCAGAGAAGCTTTTCCTTCGCGTCGGAAAATATTGGTTACTGATGTTGCGAGTGAGCCATTTCACAGCTGTATTGATTTGGATTAGAAATGGCTGATTTCTAAACTGTTTGAGGCAACACATTTTTAATAAATATGTTCACGGTGACGGAAATGTTGCAGATATTTTGAATGAAACAAATACACATTTGAAATACTCTGATATGAAAGTAATACAAGTACGACAAATTCCTAATATAAATAATATAGGTGTACAATGAGGCTGTGTGTCATTGTGACTGCTGCATTTCCACCATGTTTTGTCAACAAGGCAAGACGGTTGTAAGTGTGTGTGGATGGAGTGTGATGTGTCACAGGCTCCCACACACGTCTCCACACAGTGAAGCGGCTCTTTCTCTGCAGCCTCCCGTCCCGGAGTCCAAACACAGTGGCACCTCAGTAGGGGCTCCGCGGCCGTAATAGATTTTTAGAATTGGCTAAACTCATTTTCTTAAAAGGGGTTTGTGGGACTTAATGAGGCATAACTAATGGAGGTCCCACAAACATCAGTGCCATGCTGGAAGCACCGTGGCAGGACAGAGCAGCCATTGATTCTTGCTTCAAACCTCTTGAGTTCCTAATCAGCTTCTTTGGTTGTGCGTTTCAGGCCTGACAAACCCATTGTTGGCCTGTGTCGCTGGAGGTCAGTAGTTATTAGTGGCAACTGAAAACAGTTTCTCTAACTACTTATGAGCGAATTGAATAACGCGCATAGGGGGACTTGGAGGGGGGATTACTGGCAGTGCAGCGAGTCCGGCCGGCGCAGGAGAGAATGTGACATGGTTCTCTAATAAGGGATGCTGCCCCCCCCACCCCCTCGTCCAACCTCACCCACACACACACACACACACACACACACACACACACTCCTAACCTGGTCCTCCAACCACCTCCCTCCCCCAGACATTTGTGAATAGTCTTCAAAAGGTTTGCTTTGACACCGCAATCTCTTCGTATTGCTAAAATGATATTCATAGTGAGCAATAGAATTAGCAAGTGCGGGTCCTGGTATAGCATATACTTCTGTGCGCGCGCACGTGTGTCTGTGTGCGTGTGCATCTGAGTTAATGTTAAAGTATCTTCAAACCAAAGGCAATGGTGAAAAAATACGGTTTCATGTATTTAATTTCATGGAAATCTATTAGAGTGAGAATTGCTTTCCGAGTCCTATGACCTTCTTGAAATGTTTTTTTCCCTCTCTGTAGGAAGATGATTATTTGCAGGCTATTTTTTCCATTTGGAAATGACTGGAATTGGAGAACTTTCTGCTTCCTGGGGCAAAGACTTGCAGACTTGCAGTGACTCATTCTTTGGGAAACCAAGCCAATCTAGCAGGCACAGGTTTGTCGTAGAAAAGAGAAAGATTGTCTCTGCCTGGCAGAATGAGAGGGCAATACACTAATTAAAATCTCGCTGTGTCTCTTGGGACTTGCCAATTCAATGCATTCATTCGCAGAGCGAGATGAAAAGCAGCGCCTCGCCGTTCATAATCATTTATCTTGGGGCAAGTTTTGGGGAACTATTTCCCGGGGAGGTGGTGGAATTTTGTCGGAGTAAACTTTTAACTTCTGACTTTAATATCCACCCAGATTCGCAATTTATATTATTTGTTATCATGAAAAGTAACATAAATAACAAGAAGTCCTCTTTGTAGAGTGCAGCAACATTGTTCTGACTTCACCTGCGTGTCTTCGGGAATACTCGTACTCGTGCACTATATTCCACTCCCCTCCAACCGGGCCAGACGCTGCTTTTAGCTTTTTAGTTTTAATTGCTTTTCCAGTTAAAGTGCAACAACACAAAGCAATTCCCCCATCCTGTTGTACCTGCAAAAACAAAAAACAGTGAACCGTGTTTGATGAGGTTCATACGTTTGCCTCTATTTCTGCGTAAACCATGTAGCCAATAACGTTAAGCCCTTGCCAATTAGCGCTCTCTGGGTTGCTAGGTCGCCATGGTCAATTGAGGGACACATCAATAGGACTTGAAAAGGTTTCTCTGCGATCAGACCTTCTGACATATTAAGTAGAATAATGGGGAGGAAGGGAATTGGGGGGTCGGGAGGGGGGGGGCTAAGCGAGGCTTTCTTCTAAGTTCACATTTTGCAGCGCAACCTGCAATTACCTGAGAAGAATAGTCCGAAAAAATCTTTACATCGGTGAGATGGATAATCCTACGAATTTCCCATTTCAGCTCCGAGGGAAATATCTGCTTTTCTGTGTGAGAGACTTTTTTTTATATATATATAATGGATGTTTGATTATATTGCTTTATTTGTTTATGTGAGTGTGCATGAACTTACTTGAGGCACTGTGTGTGAGAATGAGTTGACCCAAGCGTCTATTTGTGCGTGTCAGCGTGCACATGCGTGTGGATGTTCTGCGAGTAACACCGTGCGGTGGCGGCTGCAGCCTCCAAAAACTTTCCAGGCACAGATGATGATGCGAGCACCAATTACAGTGCCCGGTCTGTCTCATATGTCCTTACAAAGAGAGCTACACCACAATAAAGCAGGAGAAGCAACAGGCACAATAGACAGTGATTACCAAGCATAGCCTATTAGTGCGCCATAACTACGGCTATTGAAAAGAGAGAAGAATGGCCTCACCTCCACTTTCATTTCACGTGGCACACTATCAAAAATCTTTGTTGACAACTCATTCATGCCCTCAATTTAGGGACAGAATGTATCAGGAACACCTTGCAACATCAAAGTCTATATTGTGGGATACATTTCTCTTTTTAATGCTCCTATCAAACTCCTTTCTGATGGAGTTGTCACGCTCAATCCAAATGTCAGGTGCATATTGGCTCTGATGCTTCCTTCGAGTGTAGGGATGATAGCACATATACATACAGCTGCCAGGTATGTGAAGGGGTTGGAAACGGGGGCTCTCCAAGGTCCCCATTGAGACACACTGATAGCCATCATCACCATCGTCACCACCACCACCACCACCACCACCACAGGGTGTCATCAGCAAGGGGATTGGGAAGTCATTTCCAAACGTGTTTAAATGACCAGAGGAAATGAAATGTTATTGAAATGCTATTACCCACAGAGCTGGTGTAAAATAAAAATAAAAAGGTTTTAGAGGGCAGAAGCAAAGGGGAGCCGACACTGATGCTAAGTGACCTTAAACACTTTGGAGTTTGTTTGTACAAAATTTATCATCTTCAAAAGAGATGGATCAGAATCACGCTAATGTAAGTGTGTGAGTGTGTTTGTGTGTGTGTGTGTGTGTGTGTGTGTGTGTGTGTGTGTGTGTGTGTGTGTGTGTGTGTGTGTGTGTGTCTGTAAGGAATGAGAGTGTGAATAAAAGAGGAACTATGGCAAAACTTTTTTTCAAACATTTCTTATGTGAATGCACCAGAAAATAATTGGGTTATTGGTTATATAATATCAAAATAGCAATCAATTAATTTACACATGTAAATGTACACTTGTTATTATTTGGCAAGTCTGGTGTTTTGCATTTTTATGATATATTTTGTCAAAGATTTTATCTAAATAAATTTTATCAAAATAATAAGTATTTCTCTGCATTTAGATAAAGGTGGAATATTTTCATTGTATCATCAAAAGTTGGTTAAACCTTATTGTCAATACTCAAAAAACAAACTTAAAGACAAAAAAAAAAAAAAACAGACTCCCATCCAGCTCTCACTTTCCGCGAAAAGAAATGTAGTAAAATAAAAATGGATTTAAAACTTAAATTTAAGTATGTTTTTTGTAACTTATTGGTAGGGAATCTTTATTTAATGTTGCTAAAGTTTTGGATCATAATTATAATTATAAAATAATAATAATAAAACAATAATTATAATGTAATTAGCTAGAGTATGATAATAATGCAAAACATGTACTCAATCCCTTTGGATATTATTCATCCTTATAATAATTATATATTTTACAAAGGATAGCATTCACAATAAAAATTGAACAGGCACAACGAACGTCTGGGCCTATTAGACATAGTCATATTATTATTATTATTTTATAAGAAATTAGTTATATTAATACACCAATGCATAAATGAATGTCCATATAAACCTGCTGCAAAGCGTTAGTGGTGGGAGATTTCCCTGCCCTGACATCCTGCAGACATCCTCCATGAAAGGCTCCCCTCGAAAATGTCACCTGAACAATGCTGGCTCCCTCTTCGACCTTGCTTTACGTCCCAATTTGGTCTCAATCACAACATAATGAAATTGCACTCCAAAACAGATCCCTTTTTTAAAAAATTACTTCCCCAAATATAGCTCTCACACTTCAAGTTATTTATTGTTAACGTTCACTTGGTTTTGAAACATATACAGCAGCCATCACGCATTTGTTCCTTTTTAACTTACAAAAGAATAAAGAAAACATAGAAGTGGACGCAATAACGATTATTATTACACATTTAACCGCATTCTCGTGTGTTAGCCAGATATACAATTCCCTACTTTATTTAATAAGTCTAAAGGAATACATTAGTTTACAATATTAATATGATAAAATATCAGGTTATCCCCGTAAATAAGAAGTGGTGGCTTATACTTCAAACCTGATCCCACCTCCCCCCCCCCCGCCCCCCCCGCGCGCCCCCCGGTCCGAACAAGTGAAGCAGCATTCCTTTTCGTTTCAACAACATAGACTACGTTTAAAACATCATGAGGAAGGTCCAAAACATGGTTTACAAAAGGTCCAGAAACGACGTAATTGCTTTCAAGGGCAGCCATTTCTGTAATGTTCAAAAATAGACTCCCCTCTCAGAGATGTCAAGAAAATGTGCCCTGATCAGCTGGTGCGCCTCTGTGCGCCTCGTCTCCTCCAAAGCAAAGGGCCCACGTTACCAGCCTTCATATGTTGTGCTCATATGTGTATATATATATATATATATATATATATATATATATATATATATATATATATATATATATATATATATATATATATATATATATATATATATATATATATATACACACGCACACACATATGAATATAGTTCTTGCATGGGCTCATCCGCAGGTTCACATAGAAAAAGTGGAAAGTGACAGTACTGTTTTAAGTCCTACCACGTTCTGCCGTAGAGGAGGTTTGAGCTCACCATGTTACTGGTGTAATCTACAGCAGATGTGTCTATCTGGGCCATGTTGAGCTGGCTGTGCAGCGAGGGGGGGCTGGGAGACATCTCCTCCAGCTCCAAAGCGTTCACCTGCTGCTGGCTTTGATGCTGGCCGAGGCTGCTGGTCGGGGAAGCGAGCACAACTCCGGCCCCGTTCTGCTGCTGGCTTTGTTGCTGGCTCTGTTGTACCTGTTGCTGGTTCGGCGTCGGCGTGTTGGAGCCGTTCTGACACGGTTTACCGTCCTTCACCAGCACCGGCACGGCTACGCGCCTCGGGGACTGCGCCTGCTGTTGGCACAGGTTACCGTCCTGTTGCTGCTGCTGCTGCTGCTGCAGCTGCTGCGTCGCCTTGTCCTTGGCCTGTCGCTTCATCTTGTACCGGTGGTTCTGAAACCAGATCTTCACCTGGGTCGGCGTCAGGTGGATCATGCTGGCCAGGTGCTCCCTCTCGGGCGCCGACAGGTATTTCTGCTGCTTGAACCTCCTCTCCAGCTCGTAGACCTGAGCCTGCGAGAACAGGACGCGCCGTTTCCGTCTGGGCGCAGCGTGGAGAACTGGCATGGATTTGGTCGCGTCAGCCATCCCCGAGAGACCCCCCATGCCGCTCATGTTCATACCTGTGGAAGGTCCCATGAATCTAGAAACTTAAAAATATACATACATATATGTGCGTTCAATAAATAGAAGAGGAGAACACTGTTTCGCCTGAAATAGTCTCTATCGATTATTGGCTGATCATTATTAAAAGCTTGAAAGCTTAACAAAACACACGTGGTAATATAACAATAATAATATTCACAATAATAACAAATAAATAATAATAATAACAAATAAATATATTAGAAATGTTCTATTGCCAAAGTAAAGAAGTTGAACAGACATGAAATAATGATCTCCTTTTCGGTTAATTAGTAATAGCCATTTTAAATTAAAGATGTCCTAAAAGTGTGCACACAATTTGTATTAACTTGTTATTGTTTGCCCCACAACATAAATATCAGAAAGCGATATAAATATGAAATTATGTGCGCTTTCTTCCCTCATTCCGGAGAAAAAATAAATAAAATAAATTGGTCGTATTCATCATTTATAAATAAAAAGAAAAAACGCGTATAAATGGAGTAAATAACTTACTTGTGGAGTATCTCGGATCAGGGTTGGAGCTGTACCACCCTGTTGCCGCACTATTCCGCATGCTTTCCTGGTACGACGGGAGGTCTCCCATGTTGCCAATGCTTCCATTGCAGTATCCCCCCATCGCGCTGTGGGAGAACTGGGAGACGGCGTGCGGCATGTGGTACGTGGTGGCCACGGCGTTATGGCCCATGGAGTGCTGCTGCATGCCGGTCTGCACCTGAGGCTGTCGGTAGGCTCCCAGTGGAGAGGTTAGGTTCCCTGCGCCGTCCATGGCACTAAACTTCTTGTAGGTCTCCTCGATTGGACTCAAAATATCTGTCACTGAAAAAGGCGTAGTGTGCTTTGGGCTCAACGACATGATTCAGAAAGCAGGTAGATTTTTGTGTTCGAGCAGATCAACCGTGTTGTTGTATCGGCTCCCTCCTTAGTGGATGTCTACGTAAGAGAGTGCTTGTAGAGCGCCTGAGATCCTATTGATCGCCTTGGAGAAGGAGGCGAGCCCAGGGCGCTCTTAGCCCGGGTTTATTGGAGCCAGGAGCCAGGTTTACGACAAACACAGGGGGCGGAGCGAAAACTCCTAAACCATCAAACAATCCTCATTGACATTTTAGGGAAATAATTCATGCAGATGCACATTGCTTTATATAAAGCTGCATATACGTGAATAAAACGATGGCACACATGTACGATTCTGTGCTTTCTGGCAGCTATAAACAGGTGAGAATAACCCATTATGTTCTGCAGATCAGCTGATCTAACCGCATATGACTATTTTGCGTCAGTAGGGAATTCCACTCTTTCTAGAAACTTTGAGAGCACTTTGAACAGACACAAGGGCCACCGAGCGTCATCAAAGAGGCACAATGAAGTTGTGTGACCGCCTCATTTATGCTTCTTAAGCATCATTTCGCCCCAGCAGAAAGAAAGACACCAGAAAGAAAAGTCCAAATTAGCTCAAAATGATAAAATGCTGAAAGGGAACGGGAATAATGATCCGACCTGTGAGCATATAGCCATCTTACCTTCACAAACAGGCATATTATACAATATAACCAGGCATATTATATAATATACGGGATTATTAGAATATTTTCCAAGGCTGTTTGTTTTTTCTCGCATTCATTCCTCTTCTTCGTCGAATGGAATTAGGATACATCGTAGTTTTATTAATATGTTCCAAATATACAATTTATCCGACTGAAGGCAATAGGAAGACAATATTCTAAGCATCCAATCCTCAGGTCCGGTCACTGCATGCACAAATAACACTTTGCAGTCTTGACCCGACATTGTAATCTCTGAGCAAACTGACTGGCGCCAGGGGAAGAATCAGAGGAAGAGACACACAACGGGGGGGTCAGAAGAGAAAAGAGCTACTGCAAACGGCAATAATGAACAGCACTTAATGTAGCTCCCCATTAAAGCCTAACATGTGTCCTTTATGGATCTAGAACGCATAGCTCATAACCGTTCAATAATTGAGAGGGGTAGAACATCACGCTCATAAAGGGCTAAAATCATAATACTGATGATGTTTTTTTTTTCTTCTTTTTTTTCCATCTCCATCAACAGTAGGCAGCAGCAGGAGCAGGTGTTCTGTCTTGGGCTTATTTTCTACACGTGAAACGTGTTCCCATCTTCCTTTATTAGAGGATGGAAGCACTCGTCTCCATGAAGCCCACTAATGTAATTTAGCGTGGCACGCGGCAAGTAGCTGCCGACCGTAATTGATCAGTTGAAGACGTGACTTGGTCAGCCATCAATTAAAGGGACGTATCAAGAACACCAATCTCCAGCTAACTCGACAGCCCGGTTGTAATAAATATTCTGTACCGAATGTTTTTTTGATAGCAGACAGGATGGCTGGATTCCGCAGAGGATTTGATGTGGAGTGGCTGCACGTCATTGTTGCTGAGGTAAAGCAAACAGTGCGTGCGTATTCCAAAATCAGCTGGAGTTGATCGAAAACTACCGAAGTGTGGTGATGGAGGGAGAGGGGGATGGAGGGGGGGGGGCGCAAAAAGTAAAAATGTGTTCGACTGGAGTGGTGTAAACAGGTTTAAACCAAATGCTGCCACTATAATAGGAGCCTTTTTCCGATCACATCATCAATAATGAAAAACCACAACGTATTTGTTAAATTAAAGAAACATTTCATACCTGCAAATATTCCTGCACTTGTCCAGACGTCTGTGCGCCTTTTCCACTCGTCTCTCCTCGGCAGCATGGTGTCTTTTCATGGCGAAAAGAAAGGTAGGCCTCGGCCCAGACCTCTAACATTATGTAAATGAGGCAAACCTCTCAACCTCGTGGATTACTGAGTCAGAGAGCAGGACCCTGGTCCACAGACCCTCCACATTACGATCCCATAAAAATCCGGAGCTGGTTGCAACGCTTTAGAAGGTCTTATAGTCCAAATGCATGTATTGTTTTTGATCCAAGTTTACTTTTTACTCGTTCGTTGAATGTGACGTGGTCAAGGCATCGGGAACGGGAAACACGGACGCGCCAAGGAGGTGAGAAGAAGGCCCAGAAAAGGTTTGTAAATACATTTGACACATTTATAAAGACAGCAATTGAATCATTAAAAAATAATAATTAAAGTGCTGAAAATGTTCCCTTTTTTTGATACCGTTTTACAGCTGTTTATGTTAATACTTATTGGACCTATAGCTCGTTGCTGCATGTGCATGGCGCTATGTGATACATGCTGACAAATATCCTGCAAAATATTCATAGGAAATCATCTAAATTGATCATTGCAGCAACCAGGAATTTCACTTATTCTCTTGGGGTTGATAAAGAAACAAATATGTAATTCCCAGAATTACGCACAGGGCGGTGTGTTGCTTTGCGTTGTAACGGGTCTTGCTTTAACTTAATAATAGACGCTTTTTAAATGTCTGGTCCTTGACAAGCTACAGACAACTTAAGTGACAAACGTTTTTGATTGTTTCACCACAAATATTTGACGAGATTGTACAATGACGTAATTGCTTACAAGCCAGTTCAATTGTGTGATAACAGAAGGATACCAAAGTGTCCAATGTGTGCCAATAATTGTTTGCAACCAGCGACAAAGTCGTCTATCATCGTGTCCAATAATTATAAGAATTATTGGTGCAAAATTGCCCAAAATAATCAGCGCTGACTTCAGACATTTGGACCAATTTTACGGAATATGCTGCGTGAACGTTCTTCTGGCCATTTGATCGTTGTTGACCGGAACCGAACAACAATCCATTTATGTAGTTAATATTATCGAGACAATCTTTTTTTCCGATATCATCACCCCCCTCAGCTCAGCTCACCACAGCAGATGGACCATGGCGCATGGTTACTGAAGTGCTTTTCTCCATCTCGTCGTTGTTGGTTCAATACCCTGAGAGATTTGGAGAGATGGCTTAAGGGCCGGGGTCATGACCTGCAACCTCAACCACACACCGGCCGAGTGCAAAGTGCAGAGCACATGGGGATCATTTTAGTCTCGAAGGCCCTAAATCTCTAACTTAACTTTTAACTTTTTCTCTGTAATGCGATTTAAAGATATAACAAAACGGTAAGAAGTTCCCAGCTTTATTATCTATATAATAAGGTCATTTTTGGCAATTGAATGGTAAATCATGGACAAAAATCATGATACTTTAGTTTAAAGAGTAGTTGCTAGATGCCGGTGCAATTCAATCATAAAAGACAAATCCAGGTCGAATCTTGCGTGCGTAATTAACGCATGACACAGGGACCTTATGGAAATATGAGAACACATATTCTTTCTTGGTCGTTTGTTCTGGCATTGATAGATTTTCCGTGATTTCTCATTTGATTTGGTATCGGTATCAGACAAATAAATATGGCTTTTGGTTCCCACGAAAGAGCGAGACTGATAATCCGCTTCGAGTGCGTTGGCGCATCGGGTTGCGTCGTTTATGACATAAATGCAATGAAATTAGAAAATACTTTTTAGTGATGTGAACTTTTTCAAGTATCATATTATAAAAATGTAATCAATGCCAACAGGAAAAGGGAAAATAATTTGCTCATAATTCCTTGTCCCTTCAAATCAAATCAGAAATGTACTATCGATACAAATTTAAGTCGATTCCAAAATGTCTGTGGCTCTGCAAAGTGTTTTCTTCCCAGGTATCGAACACTGTTTTTCCCAGTGGGTTATTACGCAGACAATATAATAAACCAATTTTAGACTTATATACCGACACAGTCTTGCAACAAGACACACTAATTGTCTTCCTCGCAGCAAATGCGGGTATTTAAGCCACCGCACATCTGCATGGCGGCCGGCCCGCCGTCTGAATTGGAGAGGACATTTTTGGGCGAAAATTCCACACCTGCAAGTCATTGTAGTGCCGTTTAGATCAAATACTTTCTCTCCCCTTAAATCACCGAGCAGTGTGAGAGTAAAAAGCGGGCAGGTGCATATCTTTCAGCTGCACTACTTGAAACAGTACGGTTCCTCAGCTAAGTAGGTTAAAGGTCCTCCCAAGTGGAGAAAGTATGCGACAGGCCTCTTGAAGACCGTATTCTTCTGCGGGAGTTTGCATTCATGCACAATTAATGTCGGTTGATGGACGAAATGATGCTAATAGAGCGCCGAAAACAGAATGTGGGCTTCTATTGGGATGCTGACCATAATCTGACTGAGGAAAATGCTGGATAATTGAAATTTGTAATAGGATTAGAGAGCAGAGTTTTTAAAGTTCACTGTATTGTGGGTAGCACTTGATTAATTTATAGCAAAGGTTATAATCAGGAACTGAGGGAAGGCCACCTTGGAAATGTTGTGTTTTTCTACTACTTCTCCTGTTTTTACTGTGCAATTGTTGTTAAATCATCTGTGTTCCTTGAAATAAATATTGACTTTTCAAGCCATTAATCCAAGGCCACAGAACGCCAAAGAAAACAGAGACAGAGGGATGTAGAGTGATAAAAATAAATAGTAATATAGTAACCATAATAGAATGTGAAAACTTATTGTTTAATCTTTTGTGAAAGAGATAAAACCACAAAAAATATAATTGATATGATCCTACTTGGAGAAAATCTGTCCCATCTTGTGTGAGATTGTAAATTCAAAGATGTATAAAAGAAATACATTAAAGTGTGACTTGAAGCCACAGATTAAAGGCCATCTTTCACAAGTGGATATCGGCGTCTTCTTCAGTCTCAGACAAAGCTGATCAAATGTGCGCTAATGTAATTAGAAAACAAGTAACAAGGTTTTTTAAGAGAGCTAAAATCCTGTGTGAGGTGCCCACATTCTGTAGGTGAAATATCATTGTGTTTAACATTATTTACTATTCTAATTATATAAAGAGACATTTATATATCACGCGTCAACCCCACTCATGTATTATTTTTCAACCATCAGCTTATGCTCAGTTTTAAAGAGTTTTTAAATCCAGTAAATCAATTGATGACTAACTACACAAAAGTAAATTCTGCAAGTCTGTTGCCTGAGATTTGGAGGGGTAAAATACAGATTTCCACCTTTCTGGGTCAGAAACGGCTTTAGCCTCCTGAAATTTGAGGTACTCAGCTGTCTGTGAGTGCTGCTGTCCCCTGCATTGTTTGGAGTGGCAACATTTTAGCATAGCCGCTCTCTTTTGTAGCAACAATTAAAAACACACACACACACATACGCACACAGCAGATCAATGCAGATAACCAAGGCTCCAAGGGGGCCCGGGTGGTCCACTTCTCGGCTGCATTAATGGTGGCAGCGGTGAGGGCAGGTAAACAAAGCTGTTAGAGAGTACGGTTGTGACTCAACCACGGCTTTGTCACCCAGTTACTCACATGGCAACATCTGCCAATCTCTTTTTGCCCTTGGCAGCCAATTGTTGTGATAAGATGAGGCCTGTTTGATGACACTTCCGTAAAATCTAAATATACAAATTTAGTTTGCTTTACTGCAGAATGCATACTTGTGATGGAAGTGTAGATTGAGTAGATTGAGAGTGTAGAAGTGTATAGAACATTTTTTGTACTGTTATCGAAGCAAGAGCTGTTTAGCTTGTGTGTCATCTGTTTTTTGTTTTTTGTATTTATTTTTTAGCTAAAAATACATCACACATTTGTTCTGGATGTGTTTTATGTCAATTCAAAAATAATATTCACACCTTGTGGATATTATTCGTCAGATTAAAAGGCAATGTGTTTTTTTTTACATATATCTGCAAATTTTGTTTCAGTCCCTTTCATTTTCTTTTTTGGTGCTGTCGAAAACGTTCAGCTGGATAACAATCCATTTGTAGATATTTCTCCCCATCATGTGTAGAAAAAGAAATAATAATAATAATGATCAATCTTGGTTTTACAGGGGAAATTAATGCAAATAGCTGAAATCTGTATCAAGTGTTTCCCGATGTCCATTTATGCCAGAAAGTCATTTATTTGGCTTGTTTTGGTGTAAAAGTCAAGGGTCACATCTTCTGATCAAAAGTTTCAAAGCACTTTGAGTGCTGCATGTGGAGACGGAAACTTTTTAAATTGCTTCACAACTCAACAATGGAAATGGGAATATTTTTACCTGTATCTTTATCCCCACTTTGGGATGCTTTTATCGAGTAGGCCCCCTGATAGCCTACCATTATTTAGATGAATCCACATAAACACATCACAAAAACTACTTCAAATTCTGAATGTATTGATCCTGAGAGATACGAGCACTCACCACGTGTTGCAATTTAGAATATAAAGTCGAAGACCATTTACTGAGCTGAGTGAAAAGATTATAATTTTTGCTCGCTTTCTTTTCAGAAAATGACGAGTGAATGAACTGCTGTATGGGGCCGCAGAAGATTACCTGCAGATGTATGAAAACATAATGGGATTATACATCAAAAATATGTAATAAAGTATTAAGATATTGTAAAAATGTCGTCATATTCATAATCACTATTGAACTTTATTTATTTTAATACTGTGGGTTTTTAAACCTAATTTTTGTGTAATGTGATATATTTACCCTTGTAAAACACCCACATATATATATATTTATGGATTATATGAATTATTTTTTTATTTCATTCAAATAATACTTCATCCCATCATTACTTTGTGTGAACAATATTGTGGTTTGTAGGTTGTAAACTACAATTTTATTTTATTTAGCTAACTATGTACAACTGCATGCTTTTGTGTACTGGCCATTTGTTTTGTTTGTGTGATGAATTGGTTGTTGACAGAAATTATACTTCAACCAAGTCAAATCAATAAAATATGAAATGTGTAATATTTAAAACCTTGCTCGAGGCCATGTGCGGTCTCCTATGTTGACTTTGACATGCTGATCAGGGTTAAAACAGAAATATTTCTGTTCATGAAGTTAATAGAAAAAAGGAATATTTTCTCTTACAAAGTGAATAACAGTCTATTGTTGATAAATTATTTCAAAGAGAACATATTACAATGTAAACTATGTGAGCTTACCCAAGAAGTTAAACAACATCCTTTATACAAGCTGTTAATGCTTAAGAGCTAAAGCAATAATCTTGTGTACTTAAAGTCAACATTTAAAGCTAAAATGTAGCCTATTCATCTCGAGGTGCCTCTTATAATATTAAAACCCACACTTACCATATTTTCAATTATTCACATGAATGTCCTGCTAAATTCTTCAATTTGTCCTCTGTGGCCATGAGAAGAACTACATCAATTTAAAAAGGGTCAAAAGTCATTAATGTTCAGCGTCCCAATAATAATAGCAGCAAAAATCCTTTAAGTGAAGTTCATTTTTCTTGACCTATAGTCTAATGAAAAACAGGAGCATCAGAGTGAAACGTCTGACTTTCCTGACGTAAGAGGGGGTGTTTTGTGGCGATATCATCCAAGTTGTTTGGTAAAACAGTGAAAATAGTTTCAATATAAATGTTCATATAAACTACGGTGGCTTGAATAACATTAAAAAAATTTGAACCATTGCGAGGCGACTATGTGAATTGCCCATGAATCAGAAGTGAAGCTTTATCTTACATTTTTGCATCTCTTCATCTTTTTATTTAAGAAAATAAGATATTCATATTACACAATCATAACAATGCATAGAGTTGAAAGGTGTTTTTACTTTTCTGTCTGGTGACAGTCCATGCGTCCAAATATTCATTTTTCTTTGTGAGCCCCACAACAGAATAGACTACACGTCTGAACATTTCAAAATACTTGAAAAACTTGTAAACACAACTGCAGAACAATATGAAATGTAAATTACATAATTTCCATTTTTATGTGTTGAGCGAATTGTCTAACTCGTTATTCATTTTAATCAGCATCTTGAAATGAAATCTCTCATTGGTTACGTTGTGATCATTGTGGACAGGTTACTGTCCTACCGATTAAGCAATATATCTCATCATAACACCATATGATGCTTAAAAATATAAGAAATATCACAGTTTGCACTATTCTAACATCTTATATTTATTAATTATATGTTATTTCTTTTGCAAGGATTCAGTTTTGACAAATTGTTGAATGAGGCATTTGTATACCTATTTTGTAATACTCCACACAGCTTTGTATCTAGTATTTCCCATCTGATCTATGAAGATGTATTTGCACTAGAAGGTATTTTATTATGCACTTTTACACATAATAATTCCACAGAATATTTTGGAGTGGAAGAAGTGGATATGAAAATGTTTGCATCCATCATTGTCAATCAACGGTGTGTCAAAACACAATATTCCTAAAGCCTTTGTTCCGTCGTGTACTGAATCATGCCGAGGAATGGAAAAGCTAACAGAGAAATCCAACGCGCTTAAATCCCTTTGTCTGACATTCTGCTGCTCTGCAGAAACAACAAGTCAGCTAATGGCTCTCTCCGTGTTTGTTGGTTTTGTCCGGTCGCGTTCCAGTGGTTCTTCCCCTCTGGAAAGATGTCGGCTCTCGGCGCCCGGCCATCCCTGAGGACGCTTGATGTCATCTCGTCTACCTGATCATTACACCACCTGCTCTTGTCTACAATGCGGCCCTCTCTCTCGCTGCGGCGCCACTTGAGATGCTTGGCTGGCCTCTTCTCTGAAACCGTCGCGAAATCAGCCGCTTCCGACGCTTCCGACTGTTCCTCCTCCTCCTCCTCCTCCTCCACCTCCTCGTCCTCTCTCCTCCGTCCAGCCATGTGTGCAGGAGCCAGAGAGAGATGCCTCCGCTCGGACGACTGGTTCCCAGTCAAAGGGGAAAACACGCAGGACGCCCTTCAGCCACCTGCTACCCGCTCACCGCTTGGATTTGATTTATTTATTTTGCAGCAGTGGCCGAGCACAATAGGATGGATGCTTACAGGTTATTTAAACAAAATGTACAGTATTCACACTTTGGAACAAGTCACAGGAGTCACAGCAGCAAACACACAGATACTGAAATGAATGACGGCTGAGTTTCATCAGTCATCGGTCCTAATATTGTGCCTATCGGCTCCTTGTCACGGCTAGACGTCAGTAACAGCTGTCCTGTCCTGTCAAATTAGTCGTGTGCGCTGTCAGGAGTCCCTGCTGGAACTCCCAAACAATGGCACCAACGACGCAGAGTCTTCATAACCAAACATACCATCTACCGTCATTCATGACAATACCGATTCACATAAATGCGGAAATACTAACATGTTGGTTCATGTAATATATAAACATCTGCTGTGGAATACCGTTTTTTCAGGGAAAAAAGGCCCACAGATGTTGTTATCCAATCTATTCTTGGATATAAGCTTCTTTTATACACACCTTTTATATTGTGTTCACTGTATATTGGTAAGGTTGATAAACAAGTTTGCCAATTAACTTTGCAAACCATTTTCTAACACCAACAACCCGATGACTTTTTTGTCAGGCCGTCTGAGCACGGCTGCAGGGTCTCGGTCGGCGCCGTGCAGAGGAAACACACGCGGCGTCCTGCAGCTGGACATGAAGCAGTGGGTCAAGTGTCTTGCTTAAGAGCACCTCAGTGGCATCTGCAGAGGTCTCCTCCAACCAGGAGAGTTTCATTCCCAGGGGCTCATCCGGCCATTTCAACTGCTCGCAGATGAACTTCTGTTGGCCCGGTTCTTTTGTGCGCTTCAAAATAAAAGTCCTTAAATAACTGCTTTCAGAGTGGAATACTCAAATAATATGATAATATATAATACAATTAGTTATTCGAAATTGTGTATTATTTACTTACATGTAATGTATTTATTCGTTAATCAATATAACTGCTTCATTTACCTCCATTCTTTATTCCTTTCTAAGTAATTAATTTACATTCTCCTTCCACTGGTTTGTTTGTTCTTTTTCATAATGTTAACACATTTCATAAACTACACAAAGTATTCATACATTTTCTTGGTATAAACAACGGTCAGACTCCCACTGACTATGTTAATGTGAGGAGGCTTTAATGACGCAGGCTTCTACTACATATACTGCTGTGTGGGATAAATAACAATGCATTGGGGGTTTGGTTTTTATATCATATTCCAGGTAACCTATTAATGATGTCACATGACGAGTTTAATGAGGAGTACAGTTTACGCCTTGTGGAATTATAAAGTGGCGTACTTGTAAACACACAATTTATTAAAAACAAACAAATGTCATGTGTTGATACACACAGTTACATCAAGTTGTGATGAAATAAAGATTTATAAAATTATGTGAGGATGGCATTGATTTTATTGAACATGTCTTGGCCATTTGTACATTTTATAGCAGTGAACGAAAGAACGTGCTGTACAGGTACGTTTAAAATGATAATAAATACACTGTAAAAATACAAAAAGCACAGTATAAATAAATACACGGTGTTGAATAGAAAATAAAAAAACATGTCTGGACAGTTATGTTTGCAAAAATAAAGCATAAACATAAGGAAATGTGTGTATGTACAGCAGGGGTCTTCAACGTTTTTCAGGCCAAGGACCCCCAAACTGATGGCGAGATGGAGCAGGGACCCCCTATTCTACAGAGTTTTGTCTGCCATCTTTTATTTTTGAGCTTTGCGCTTTTACGTGAGCATGAACGTGATCTGATTGGCTGGTGCCTCTGCTGTGGTTTCAGCGTGAAATGAATGAACCGGTGCCCAGCTTGAGAGCTGCTGTGGGAAGCTGGATGTGTGTTTTGCGGACTGAAAGATAATGTCTTCTCCATTCATTTATCCGTTCGCTACAATATGTTGGATCTATGTTAATGTGTAACAATAAAGAAGACAATAAATACAATTCTGATTCTGAAGACATTTAAATTTGTGGAAAAAAAATTGTCTTATCAACCAAAAATTTCGCGACCCCCCTGCAGTACCTCCGCGGACCCCCAGTGGGTCGCGGACCCCCCTGTTGAAGACCTCTGATGTACAGTATTACCATGGTTACAGCAGTGGAGGATTGGACTGCACATCTGGGAAACAAATATACTCTCCCACTCCGCGGGGTATTAACTGGGGCAAAGGACCGGAGATCTGAGGGGCCCAGGGGTCAAGTGGTGCTGTGCAACAGGGGGGAGGGGGTCGTGTGCCTTGCTCAGGTGCACTCGGGCGAGGGCAGCCATGGATGTGACACTACCGATTGTCTGGGTCGGTCAGCTGATCAGATGCGTAGGCATCGTGTGGGGTTATTGATTCCATTTCTAATGAGTTCCTTTTGTTTCCTTAGTATGGAGGAAAGGACAGTGAGACGACGGGAAGATGTGTCGGTGAAAGTATTATCGGCAGACTCGGTGTCTGTGAGTGTAGCAGACGAATGAGTGAAGGTTATTGCTTCCATGTCACGCATCACCCAGAGCATAAAGGCTGAATGTCATAGTTAATACAGTGATGTCAGATGGTGCATCGCTCGGTAGTATTGATCCAATGACCTTGTTAAGTAAAGCAAGTCCACAGAACCGAAATGTCACAGAGAAGCTCTTTTTTCATATTATTATTTTCCCATTCAGTGGAGTTAGCTCCGAAACACATTATAAATTCACCACAGAGCACAAGTGCACAAACACATGATGGGCACAACTTGCTGCACATATTTTACATCCTCTTTAGACAGGAAGTTAATTAGGCAACTTGAATTGGTAAAACGCGCCGCTGCCACATTGTTGCTCTTTGATCATCACGCATGCTGATTGAAGCATGTCTAAAACAGATGATGGCCGCTTGTTATGAGGCTCAAAGCCCCAGGATCCATTTGCAGTGCTGGCATCTCAAGCACCTCATGTTCATCCTCTGAAGAAGGTGAGACAATCCATTAAGTGAAAGGCATAAACACTCAACTCTGGGAACCTGATTGTTGGCGCTGTCCCCCATCCAGCCCATCTGACTGCAGCGGACTGTGGATTTTATACAAGACAATTCAAGTCCTGAGATGGAACATTGAGAAAGAGAAGACAAAGGGAAATGAGAGCGTAAGGCAATTTGCATTTCATAACAACAGCAGCAGAACTTTAATGGAAGAGCTCACAGATGTGAGAGGCAGAACCCTTGGTGAAGAGTTGCCTCCCAGTATGATTTATCATGCACTGTTGGTATAAATTCACCTGTGAGGAATAGCAAAAGACCATTCATTTCAAACTAACCACATTTGTATCATTATCACCACGTTTTGGATTTTTATATTACACTTTAGCACGTTGCATGTGCTCGCCACATCCAATGTGCTCTTATTCTTTGAGCAGCACAATACAAACATGTACTGTTCTAACAACAACATTCATATCTCTGATCTACCACATCGGTTGGGATGGAAAGTTTGTCTTTCAAAACGTCTACATTGAATTTTAAACACCACAAGCTTAGCTTAAACAAAAGCAGTTGAATGAACTTGTCAACTAAAACTTCAATATTGATCCAGTAAACGATTGAGTTGATTTTGTCATTCGCAGCTTCAACATCTCATGAGTTCTGTTTTTATAATCACAAAATGTAAAGTCCCCTTTTGTTTAATTCAGTTATTTATCTGAGCAGCCTAATTCTGTCTCTGTGAGACAGTTTTTGAGTTAACACTGTGAGAAACGCAGACACTGCGAATGAACATAGCCTTTATTTCAGGTTTAAACACCCCATTAGATGTGTAACGTATTGATACGACGGGAGTAGCCACAGGTATTTCATATTTATAGAAATATTTGTTGGAAGACAGCAGCAACTACACAAACTTTGCTGTGATACTGCATGAAATTGTTTATTGGTCACCAGATTATGTTTAATCAGAGCAGCTTCAATGGGGACATGTGCACCTTGTTATACATATCTGACCCCCCCAGTAATGTACCTGAGTTTGCACACCATTGTGAGCAGGAGGACGCTGAGTGAAACGGTCCTGCTTGAGACACATTTAGTTGTTAATAGCTCTCAACAACCTCTTTTTTTTTAACACTGCCTGTCACATTGCTTTGTCATTGACTCCCATTGAGATAGATGGAGTATTCGCTGTTAGAATATTAGTGAATGATGTCAATTGAACGCTGCTGAGACTTAGTTGTACAATGAAGCTATCAGAGTGCTTTCCTGCAGATATACATTCATCATGATTGCTTGCATGTTAATTGTGACCCTTTTAAACCCCCTCCCGCACAACAAAAGTGACCAAAATAAGAAGCCAGTGTGATTTTTTTAGCATTCCTTTATTTCATCTACCATTGCGTATATTTTACATGGCTGCAGTGGTGGAACATGGCAGACAGGATGAGGTAGGTACCTGGAGAGGGGAAAAAAGAAGCCCTCCCTGTCCGAGCACTCTACCTGATCAGATCGAGGCATTCTCCCGGTGCACTCTGCCGACTCTGCTGTTTTCCTAATCTTGACATTCAGCAAAGTCAAGAACCTTGACACTCACTGCTTTTTCACAGAGACGACGGCTCTGAACCGGCGGCTGATCATCTGCAGTGCTTAAAACTCAGACTTGCTGTTGGCACAATTTGAGAACTGCACCATCAGCGTCTCCCCCAGCTAATCACTGATGCGGGTTCTGTCTTGCCCCAAGAAGCCAGAATACAAATGTTGATTTACATGGGAGAGACTTTCAATCGCTGTTGAATTTGACTATGCGAGTTCAACAAAATGTCCCTATGGAGCTTGTTACTCAGTCTGGCCTCAGCTTCACCTCGGCTTCAGTCCGATTACATCTACTTAAACTTGAAGTTTGTAAAGATGACCTTAAATTAAAACTTCAGGAGATGGGTTCTGTATTTATCTCTAAGCTGTGTTTCCACTTTTTAGTAAAAAGATGCCACCTCAGATTGAGCAGCAGAAGAGAAAATGAATTAATACCTTCAGGATATTTGCTGGATATGTGCAAATAAAAAATTCAGTAAATTATTTTCCCTTTTCAATTGCTCCCACTAGATTTCTTTTATTGTCCATGTCTAATTTAAAACATTAGTGCCAAATGAACATTTTGAATGTTTTGTGCAGGAACCTGATGGACAAAGGCACAAATTGTAAGCAGACAAAGGGGTTAATTATTCCATACATTCAACAATTAGGAATTGTAATAAGACACTGAATACATTTTTTTAAAATGCAAAGAAATGCAATGCAGATATTATAAATAAAATGACACGTTTCCGGCATTACAGTTCGCCCAACGACTAGTCTCTGCTTTCCATTTATATACAATAACAGAGAATCTCCTTTTGTTTTAAATTCATGCTAAAACACAATAAATGACAGAAGTCAGAGTCGTCTCTTTCCCGTTAAGCTCCAAAGAAAACTGCCACCAAGCTGCAGACTCTTCCGTGTCTTCCTCGTTGAACCCGCAGAAAGTGGCGGGTGTTCGTCGGCTTCTCCCCGTCGGAGCGAAGCTCTGCAGACACTGCGTCCCACCGCGTGGATTCTCTCTGTGCGCTCTAATAACTCCTCAACTCCGGGAGATATCTTAATGAGAATGCCGAGATGTCCCATCTCTGTATTCCCACGAAAACAAAGCATTCATCTGAAGAATTCCTAGAGCGGATTTAGAAATAGGAATAACTGGGTGCAGTTTTAATGTGCACATTAGTTGGAAGCTGTTTGGTCCTTTTGTGTATTATTATTTTTTTCTACCAGCCTCATCTGAGTGAACAAAACTCTTGCAGATCTAACATTTTATTTTCTTCCCTTCTCGTTCCTCTTCAATCATATCTAGCATCCCTCCACCCCCTGCTGGTGCCTCTTTCTAACCCAATGAGGCCCCCTACAGGTGCAAGCTCACTGATGCTGAACTGAGCAGGTGCATGAAGATGGGAGCCTTTTATTTGGTCATCCGACCCATTTTGTAGTGCTTTGCATAAACTTGGTCTCCGCATGAGGAGATGATGGTCGCTGAGGCACTTTGCAGCCTGGGAAGTAAGTCGACCTAACGTGCAGGACGTGATAGGAATGTAATTAGTAGTGAGTGGATCCAAGTATTTGTTTTTAATAAAGCCATCAGACGCCATAGATTTTATGTTTCTTGTTAGTTTCTCCAAGACTATATTTTTTTCTCAGTTTTTGTTTAATACAACGCGTTCAAATAAAAACAGTTGTGATGAGAATGCAGTTTTGTCGTCATGTTAATGTGTGTATTTGAATCAAAGTCTTCTTTGTTGTGAAGGACCCTGTTAGAGCGGAGACTTCCTTTGGAAAACCTCACTTCTGCTCCATTGTTCACTTCCAGTGAAGTGCATTAATCTGCAAAATATTTGTCCGATTGT